ACTTTTCTCTCTCGCTCTCAAAATGGCGTTACCCACGATAAAACGGTCTATAGCTATTTCAAGCGAATCTGACCAAGAACATATTTCAATAGTCAATAATATCCACTTTAAGTTAATTCCACCCTTGAAACACCAATGCCTCAGGAGTGGGAATAATAGTTGTTAATAGTTATTCATAGCCACGTGAAACTGATTGATCTTGTCAAGAATATTTTCCAAAACCAATTTAAGTCACTTGAAGCCAATCTCACCCATAAAAACAGGAATAATCCCATATAGTTAAATTTTCGCTAATAAGAACGACTTCAAGTTGCCCTATGTATAAATAGTCAAATAACTGGAAATAAATGACTCATCATTCGTGTCCAGCTCGCTTGCACCTTTGCATTTCATTGCATTATAATCAAATAATGACTGATATCCTGAATAGGCACTTAACTACACAGGGTCCATATGAAATAAAAGCTATACTGATTTGTACATGAACTTTCTGAAACATATCAATTAATACAAAAATTTCATAACCAAGTGTTTCTGAATTTTAAGCGGTAGCTATGAAGTTTTTTGACGATAATGTAAGGGGGAAGAAAGTGGAGCACGCGGCTAATATAAATTTAATTTTCGGCACCAAGTTGACCACTCCTCGCCAAGAGATGGCACCACTTCTGTGTCTCCCGCCAACCCCATGTATTTTACAGTGAAGCTGTTAATGGCTAGTTTGCCCACTATCGTGTCCGCGGACAAGCGGCGCATCGACACAAAACTCCAGGCAGCTACCGCCATCTATGAGCACTCGAGCCAGTTCACCGTCACCCTCACTCGCGTTCGACGAGGAGAGTCACCCATTGTATTCCGTGCCGTCCCTCCCCCAACCCTTCTTCCCCGGCGTCCGCGTATCAGTTGCCCTTTGGACTCACGAGGGATCGGACACGTGCCGTTCGTTCGGAGGAAGAGCGGGAGCGAAAGGAGAAGCGACGTGCGCAGCAGCGTGAATGGCTGCGCAAACGCCGCGAAGCCGCTATCGCCTCGAGTTCCACTGCGTCGAATGGTTACAAATCCCTCGCGAAAGAAGAGCAGATCGCTCGCCTGGAACGCCGCCGAGAACATAAGCCACCATAGTACAGCTTCGCTGGTCTTCCTTCTTCACCACAGGGAAAAGGCTGAAAGCTTTTTTTTTTTTTCTGTATAGTTTCCTGTATTAGTCTCAACAGTATTTGCCCGAAGTGTAGTGTTCGCCCGCGTCCCGCAATCAAACGCTCTTCTCCGTGCATGCCGCCTATCGCTGTGAGCAGACGACGCTTCACTTTCGAGTTTGAAGTTCTTTTAGAGCCCTTTCAGCGATCTCAAGTTCTTTCGAAAGAATTTGAGATCGCTGAAAGGGCCCTAAAAGAACTTCAAACTTCTCTTTGACCTCGCACTGTTTGATCAAACGGTGCGAGGTCGAAGAGAACGCGCAGTGGGCTTTTGCGAGCGACGTGAGGGGCCGCGTCGCGCCGGTTCTCCGTGAAAGGCTGCCCCGACGGAGTCACAACCGAAACTACGGTACACAGACACCAAACCCAGTTGTTTTGACCGTTTGACGATTTCCTTTTCGAAGACTCAGAGGTCGTCGGGCACCTAAAAAAGAGAACTTCGTCCGATTCCCCGACTCAGCGATGATCCTCAGTGCTACATGTGGCAAGCGCCGCCAGCGCCGCCATTGCCGCCATGTTTCTCGAGGGACGATAAAAAGCCAGGAGGCGACATCACTCCGAACTCCGACTTTCGGTATTTCAAAACGAAGGGCCGTAGTGCGTTCGCAATTCCGTTAAGAAAACATGTTTTACGAATGCGGTTGTTAAATATTATAAATATGTCGCTTACAAAGCTCCTAAATTTCATAATTTTTGACGTCACAAATAAAAAGAAGCGAGGAGGTGAGAAAAGGGAAAGAAGGGCGCCAAAAAAAGAAAAGCGCGCGCGCACGTGGGAAAAATTTTTTTATTCTTTTTTTTTTTTGCGTTGTGGTATTATTTTTTGTCTATACCACAACTTGCAAGGCTTTGGACAACTAAGAGAAATACGACCTTTAGGGTGTCAGTGCCCCTTTAAACAGTAGTAGAATGTTTGTGCAACAATAAATTGGTTACGCGTGCCTCCTGTGTGCGAAACTCCCGTTGCCCGGTGAGCACCTTTCGTGCCAATAATTCACTTAATCACTCGCGATGGGGAAAAGCCAAAGCTTTTCCCAATCGCGAGTGTAAAATGTAAAAAGGTAAAACCTTTGTAAAATGTTCGTTGCTCAAGCTTTTCTTTTTTAGTTAAAAGTATGAATCTCCGGGGTTTTTTTTTACGTTTTTTGTTCTAATTTAAGCTCGTTAATTTTATTTTGCGCACTCGTGAGAAAGGACGGCTGACAGAAGCGTCACATTTTTGTTTTAGTGTCGTCCTTGTTCGTCTCAAGTACAACGTGGGCACTTTGGAAAGATTCTCTCACAACTTACTGCTGGTAATTTGCATTGATACTGGTTAATCCCTCGTGTTCTCATTTCGATTATTATTCGCGGCATTTGCCTCACGGCGTAGTTAAGGGAAGGGGTTAAAGGAAAGAGTGCAGATGGTACTGGTTATGTCTCCGTGTTGGCGAGTCCGGCCAAACGCATCGCCTAACGCATATTAAGCATCTCTCGTGACGTCACGCCGTTACTGAAGGCGCAGGCGCCGATCTACTTTCTGTGCTCGCCTAGTGGCCACAGCTTGCAAACGCGTTCTTCTTTCGGAAGAAGAATCCCTGAAAGCAATGCGGTCCGTCAGGGCCACAACAAGCAGTAACCCTGAAAATAAACAGACGGTTCTGAGCGTCAACCATAAACCACACAAATCGCTAGCAAAACTTGGAGCCGGTGGGAAGCGTTGAGTCTCGTACAGCAGTTGTGCGACAAGTGCCATGCCGCTGCGCTTTTTTCGTCTCTTATCGCAAAGCCAGCCTCGCGTCTCTTGCACGCCTGGCCGCATTAGTTACCTGGACAAACCGTACTATAGTAAGTTACAGGTCAAGAAGGTAGCGGCAAATGCCCCTCAAATGGATTAATATATCCCTCCGCCACCTCCGCATCCAACAGCGTCCCATCGTTTCGTGGTCAACGCGGGAGAGGGTTTTACCTCCCTGTGAATATTTGCTTTATCTTTCGACTTTGACTTAGCGTTGTGGAAACCACGAGAGGGAGATTAGAGTTTTCCCCCTCGGATGGAAACAAATACGACTTTGGGGGTTAGGTTCCCTCTCCGATGGATACAAAGGCCACTTTCTTAAAAAGTGGGAGTCGGAGACAAGTTGGGCGTCACTCTGTAACCATTATCTATTCACTGAAGCGGAACAAGGGGCGTTTCCAGTGAACTCTTCTTTCGACTGCGGAGGGATTTGAGACCGGCGCATCACGCTTATGGGAGGAGCTTCTCCTACCTTCTTGACTTGTAACCGACTATAGTGTACTTTTCACCACTTTTTTTTTATCTGTGAAGCCTCAAAAAATTACAAAATTATTCCACTTTGCTGCAGTATCGCGATTCAAATGTATCGCGATAGTATTTCAGAAATGCACTGTGTATCGATAGTTTCACATCGCGATACATTTCTTTTATTGCATATTGTATTTCTGTATCGAAATACATTTCTTTTATGTATTCGAGGTATCGCGATAGAGTGTAGGGACCAACGTATTTCGTTCCTCTTATCGTGGAGTAGTTAACCTCCACACAGAAAGTCCAGTTTCACCTGGGATGTTTTGTATCTGACCATGCATAACGTCCTCTTCTCTATTCTGCAAAATATTACGAATGTTTTTTCGGGCTTAGGAGGTCGATTGTTTCTGTTGAATCAATAGTTCAAGGCGCTGTCATCGCCACTCCTGGGTGGTAGAGAAAAGATAATATGAGTTCATTGTACTTCATCCCATTGTGACGTCGTCGAAGGATCAATTCTCAAATAGGCCCCCGGATTGGTCAAAATCCCGGTGATTTCTCGAAGTAATTTGGGAGAACACAAAACTGATTTCCTGTGATTTTGCCTCGCAAGAATGACAGACGGCAAAAAACACCGGCGCTCGCTAATTCTGCTGTAAAATTAATTCGAGCGAAAAGACGTCGAACTCAAAATTGAGGCTGCATCTTAAAGCGAGTCCTTGTTTGTTGGCTTAAAAAAAAAAAAAAATTAACTCGTAATGTAGATCATGGCTATAAATCCTGCTTGTGTTTCCTTTTCTTTTTTTTTTTTGTGTGTGTGTGTGTGTGTTTTTTTTTATACATTTTTGGGTGCACCCAAATAGTTCTACGGAGAACGAGAATATCTAGATCGTAGTTTTCTTTTCAGAACAATTTATTTCAGTGTCTATTTCTGCCCCAGCAAAATGGATTCCAGTAATTGTGTTTCCAACGACTTTTCAGACTTTAGAGTATTTCTGACCAGCCCTGCTCTGCTGTTTGAGATTAATTTGAAGAAAGGAATTTTCAAATACAGTCGCTCTTGACCGCGGGGTTTTCAACGAAGCCAAGCGGGTGGATCCGCGACGTGGCTTTTGCGGTTCAAGAAGAGCAGATGTCTGCACAGAGGGTTCCGTCTTGGAGTATCGTAGCCCGGGAGGGAGGCGAACCCCGGCCCGGAGAGTCCGGCCTTCAGCGAGGCCCTGTCCGCCCATCGCTACTCATCCGGGCCACGCCGGAGGACTTTCTAATGCGCGGCCCGCCGGGACCCCCTGGTTTGCGCTTCCCCGCACAGCCCGAATCCTGGAGGACAGGCTCGTCCGAGGACGCCGCTCGGGTGAGCTTGCGCAACGCCGCACGCGTGAACAGAAGGCGCAATGCGGCCGCGCTGCTCTCCAAAGACACGAGCACGCACGAGGAAGACCCGCTTGCCGGCCGATCCTTGGGGTCCCCACGTGCGCCTTCTTTGTGTTTCTTCGGGACCCAGGGAGCTGCTCACTGGATTCCACGGCCGGTAGGGGAGGGAGGGGGGAAAGACGCTATAAGAGACGCCCGGAGTACGCACAGCATCGTGCTCGTCGACTAGGTACGTCCTGGGCCCAGCGGCTTTTCCCGGAGGTCGTGCCCCCGTGTTTCGTCCTGTGTGTGGCGCGGTCGTTGCCGCTGGGGCAGGCTGGGGCCAGCCCGCCAGTCTCCGCATGACTGTGCCCCGGGCGTACCGACCGCTCTCTCGGAAGCACGAACCACCAGAACGCGTAATGACGACCAAGATGGCGAAGCAGCGCCCAGTCTCCAATCTAGAATGAGTCGTTCTCGGGAAGAGCTCTCCAAACAGCTTGGAATCCCTCTCGCGGCCTGCGTATTTCTCCAGAAAACGCCTTTCTCTTTCAGCGAGGAGGAAAATCTCCGGACATTGAATGTTCCGCCTTTCCACGCGCACCGATCTTTAACTTGACCCCAGATGATGCAGGATGCTTTCGTGCCTTTTTTCTTGGAGGTTGAAACACGTCGCCTTTCGCACGGGCAATTAAGAGAAGCTGGACTGATTGCGGTCGATGAGACTGTGACCAACTGAGGCCCTGCTGTCGATGAACCGCCCCAATCGATTCCCTTTGACTCTCCGCGTTGCTTCGTTCTTGCCTGCAGAGCTCACCCCAACTTCTTATTTCAGATCCTCCCGGAGACCAACATGAAGGCTGCTATCCTTCTCGGTGAGTGAAGCCGCGCCCATTCATCACTCCGGTGGGCACGGGAGACAGCCTTTTGCTGCCATTTGTGCCATTCAAATTAACGAAACATAACGTATAAAAACAAAAACAAAAAACGCTATCAGCGTGCGGAGTGTTTTTCAGATATACGGTGCATGCAATGCGTTTAATACATCACAGACGGCAAATTTGGGGGTTTCACGTGCCAAGGCAACCAAGGGCATCCGGCATGTCGGATTCATTTAGACCATCTTTGTACGTTCCATCCCAATCTCGGTTAGACGGCGCCTTCCCCACGCCTCGGACGCGGACACCATGACCGGGATAACTAGACCGGCGCTTTACCTCGGAGCCATCGAGGCGGCTTCAAACGTTCACACCAGAATGAACCAGTTTCCGAAGTGCTGCTTCGAGCGAGCATGCTCGCTCGAACCAGCATTTCGGAAACTGCCTCGGATGGTGCACCACCCGCGTTGCTCTAACGAACGCGCCAGGCCTAACGAGCACATGCGTGCTGCCCAAGCCTCCGTGTTCCGACATACACAAAGAGCACTTGCAGTTTAACGGGTGCTTTCTTTTTACGTTTAATTCTATAGCGAGGACTTGGTTCCAAGTTCTCAAGGGTAGCGTGGTCTCCGCAGCGCTGTCAAAGCTTTATACTTGCACTAACGCGTGGCTTGGTTTGGCGTTTTCTTGGCACGACGTGCTCGTGCGAATGTCAAGTAATACGAAACGCTCGCGCAGCAGCGCGGGGCTGCTGCACCGTGAATACGCTATGACACGAGCGACACGGACGAGGTCTCTCGGGTGATCTCTCGTTATTTTTGTGCTATTTTTGCGAGCTTGAAGCAAATTGTGCTCGCAAAGAGCAGAATTTAGAATCAGGCCCGATGAGACATTCGCGTCGCATAGGGCATTCATTGGCGCACTCGAAAGTTTGGTCGGCAGGGTTCTACGGGAGCTGTGATACGGTTTTCCTACTTTGGCCAATTCTACACTGCAGGGTTGTCTCGATGCCCGTCCAACACGAGAGACGCGTAGTCAGTGGTTTAACGAACGAGGGGCACCCTCGTCTAACATTGCGTGGACGGAAGAGTTGAGATGAATGGGCGTGAAACTGGGCACAGCCGCAGCCAGGGAGTGCAGAAGAACGAGTCGGTTGTCCAGCCTGGCAGCCGAAGCTCATGGCTGCATCGGCGAGCTTCGGCTACCAGCTGATCAACCCCGGCATTCCCGACAATCCAATGACCCGCCATCCACTAGTCGAATCATTACGCACGACATTGTTTGCACAAACGCGAAATCACTGTTTGCTTGTTTTTTGTTGTTGTTTTTTTTCTCTCAGAATCTAGAGGCTGGTAAAAAAGAAAAATTACTAGTGATGTGGAGGGTGTTAGTTTAAGGCAGTAACCTAAGCGGTAAAATCGTGATGTATCCTTCCAAGAAAAGAAAAAAAAACAAAAAAACGAAAGAGCGCCGATGCCGCATCGTTGCCAACATTGTCGCGCCCAGAAATAATTCCGAGTTCTACAGCTCGTAATGCTTACGGCGACTGAGCGTTCCAAAATACATCAGAACTCAAGGACGTGTACACTAACCAAAGGGCGTCTTTTATTGAGCCCACGAGAAGGCACTCTGTTCGCGCCTGTGTGCGCATACTCCATCGAGGCGCCTTCTGGGCGGCCGCACTAAGCGACTTCCATTCGAGGCACGCTCGGCACGACGGCGCACTGAAACATTTAACAGCTTTGATTCTACACTTCAATATGGCGGCGCCCAATTGGAAAAGGGTTACGGTTATATCATCTCTGCGAAGCTGTCCGCATGATAGAAAATCCTTGCGGTGTGGGTTGTTCGTTCTGCCACAAAATTACTATAACGTGCGCTAAAGGTTAAACTGGCTGCGACTTCCGGGATTCAAATTGAAGCAGACAGCAGCCAGTCAACTTTTGCGGCGCTCCTGTGCATTCCTATGGCAAAGCGCGCGTGCATTTTCTCTTCGCCGTAAAATAGCATGGATCATTTTTGGTACTTCGGTCTTACCGAATAGTGTGCGCTTTAGTATCGTTGTAAAAGTGTAATTTCTTTAGTTACAGTATTTTTCTTTTCCAGTGAACGGTGTTAAACTTTGCTATATTTAAGGCCCAAACCTGCGTTCCACAGAAGGTGTGTAAAAACGATCGATGACTCTAGGCAAAATAGCAATCGAAAGGAATGTAGAGCGTGTTCAAGGTTCGCCAGCATACCGGTGGCGCCTATGCCCGTCCTATCGTTATATGAAAATGACTCCGTCGTGCATCTTTACGTGCGGTTAAAGACATTCCAAACGTAAAGTATAAAGTGTACGGGTTATGAAAGGTGTTTCTTATCATTATTTCCTATACCGGGAAGCTTTTATCGGGTACTTGACTCCTGGCGCCTCCCTATTTTCAAATATTTCGAGCGTGCGGGTAATGTTTTGTACGCAGAACGAGCATCTTCGCACATATGCATGAGCAGAAGGAATAAAGCGGTACTCATTCATTGCAAATCGGACTATTAGCCCCGAGAAGTTTGCGTGGCGCCCCCTTACGGCGAACCGGGGTGACGTCACGGCGAGGACAGAATTTTTCCCCGACTCGCCCCGCTCGCCCTGTGGAGGCTGTGACGACTTTAGCTGTCGGCGCGCTCGTTTCTATTTAATTTCTTTGCGCTTGTTTTTTGTAGGAGGTGTAAATTTTAATATCTGGCTTTATTGAGGTATGGCCTGTAGCTGCATGCGAAACCTCAAACAACATTTCAGGCATGGTTGACAGGGCAGGCAACGCATGAATCGCAGCTGGTATATGAAAGTAAAGAAATATGACCACAATTGGACCATCAGTATAGATTTACATCTCACACAATCAGCGCTGCTGATGGTCCGAATGAATTGGCAGGTTAGGTATACTACTTTTTTTATCTTTCTTTTTAAACGAGATCACCGAAGCAGAAAAGCTGCATGCTGCTCGAGCAACATGTTAAATACAGTCTGGGCCATGGAGAGAGAATCACAAGTGAGGCAGCCCAAGTACAGGGGCAAAGTAAAGAAAGAAGGAACATTTATTTATATCTATCGTTCGCATTTGACCTTCGCTGGATTCGTATAGTACACTCATGTCTCGTTAATATAGACCCCGTTAATATGAATACCCCGCTATATGGACACTATTTTAGGGGACCAACTGGGAAAATATATGCATTTTTGTCTCGTTAATATGGACAACTCACATTATGGACGATTTTTGGAGGGAATGGAGGCGTCCATATTAGCGAGACAGCACTGTATTTCAATGGACTCCACTTCTGCTATCTGTGGACTTGTTTATATCATCTCTCAAGTAATGTACAACAAACGTAAGCGAAGGTGTCTAGCCCGTTATTTGTCCCTTAGGCTCTAAAATTAAAATTTTAGCCAAATCAAATTGTCCTGAAGCTAAAATACCCGAACCTTTTCTCACGGAAACTGTCACCCTTCACAGGTTCCACATTTTTTTCTACTAGTGCAGCATCTACCACCGGACAGCCGTTCGAATGCTTGCTGTTCCTCCTGTCTTCTTCTTTTGTCAGAGAGTCCAGCTGTAGAGAGTTAAGAGGCTGAGGAAGCTTTTGGGAACCTCCAGCAGTGTATCTTTTAATTGGAAATGACAATTCTAACCAAACGGTGTATTTTCCGAATACCCAAGGCTGGAATGAAGAAAGAATGTCAGAAAAAAGTATAAACATTCCAAAGTACAGTGCTGTTGGTGTGCATGTTTTGGGCGCTTCAACACAACTCATATAGGCAACGGAGGGCAATAGACCCTTTCCGAAATTCAGTCTGGCCACTTTGATCATCATCATCATCGGAAAAATGGCGTATGTGCCGTACCAACGTTACTAGAACACTCAGTTGGGAAACTCACCGTCGAAACCTGGGCCGCTGGCGTCCACCGAGACCGAGCTAAATACGACAACAGCGCCACTCTATCATTTGTCTGTACTGTGGTCACTTTGAGCTCTTAGAAAGCATGTTTTTGAGTAAAAACAAACGGAAAAGACTCTTTTTGTATGAATTTTTTTGGAGTTTAGTACAAAATGAAGGGCGCGTGATGTTTTATAATTTTTAGTTTGCAAGGTTTTGCGGAACAATTAATATTGTTTTTATACAAACCTGCCTCAGCGGTCCTTTCAGGTAGCGCGTGCCGACCTAGGTGCACTTAACTTCGGTATAGTAATTCGCGGCGCGTCCGCTGGGGAGACGGGGGTGGCACCCCTGTAACCACTTCCGCTGTATCTGTTTCGGCGCCAAAATGGCCGATTACAGCCAAAATAGAAGTAGCGTACAGTTCCCCGAGTGGCCGCTGTGGGAGAAATGGCGGCGTTGTGTTCGCCATTAGCTCGGTTCTGGTGGACAGATTGGGGCCACTTTTTGAGAGTAGTCTCTATGGCAGTTTCCCAACTGAGTGGTTCTAGTAACGTTGTGCTCTACTAATGGCGGCCTTCTGTTTACTGATGAACGAAGAAGTTGAAGATGCTCCTTAGCAGATAATTCGAGGCTTATACATTCGTGATGTTAGCACGATGCGAAGCAGGAACTGAAAGCAAGATTTGCGTAAACGTTCATTCCTAGCTCGGGCCCAGCCAATCTGTTGGCAGCATCAAGGTGCTCCAAAGCCCCTTGATTTGTAGAACTTTATCAAGCCGTGTACGTGGGTTGAAACTTCGTTCTGACTGGTTGCATCTTTGTTTCTGTCGTCACTGAAAGAGATTGAGAAGGAAATGTACGGTACACTCTAAGAAAAAAGGGAACGTGACTTGCTCCCTCAAAGGAGCAAATGCGCTGACACAACCATTGGTCCCATTGGGGAGCAACGGTGACGGGAGCAACCCTTGCTCCCCTACCGTTAGTCGCTCAAAGTTGAACCCCCAGGAGTAATTTTTGCACCCATGCATTTAGGCCCCTGGAATTAAATTTGCGCCCTTACCTTATTTTGTAGCAAATT